GGGTGGTGGGGTGGTGGTGGTGGGGACATATGGTTGCTGGAGAGACCCTGGGAGGGGAAGGGGTTAAGAACAAATCTACAAGGCCCTGGACCAAATCCACACCAAAGCTGTCTGCCTTTTAAATTTTCTGGCCTAATGTCTTTGATTGGAACTTTCGATAATAGTGATGATGGACGTTGGTGAAAAGGGGTCTCATTGCATAATGATTTTATTTCATAAAGATAAAATGCAGTTTTATCATAGGTGGCCTAGGGTTTCAGACATCTTTTGAGATAGCTCAGATTTGATATTGAGATTTGGTAACAATGACGGAGAAAGAACTAAAGCCCTCGCTAGAGCCAGGTGAGCTGGGCAGGTGTGTCTGCAAGTAGGCAGCAGGGATCACATTACCACTCTGAGTCTTAGCTTTTTTGACCATTCAAGCACTCTTTTATACACAATGTCATGATATTAACTTCAACTAGCAGTTGAAGAAAAGCAGTTTCAAGGACGTTAAGTTTGGATTGCAGACGTTAAGTAAACTGAAACGTTAAATGAGCCAGTAAGTGGCAAATCTGATCTTGCTCAATTGCACAAAAACATAACGAAAATTGAAATGTGGAGTAAAGGTAACAGCTGGGGGTTACGGAGAAAGTCGTTACCCATATAATTCGTTGACCTTCCCCTTCGACTACTAACACAACAGGTACTACAGCTGCTCCTGCCTGCAATCCGCGCTGTGCTCCCCCAAACTCTTACAGACATCGCTGCCCTAGGCACAGCCCTTCCATTGGCCGTGGGCTACAGGGCCTCATGCTCATACGAGGGGAAGCAGCCAATCAGCGCGACTCGTGTCCACCCAGCCCTCCCGCGCGGGATTGCGTTCTCTTTACCCGTCCCGCGGCACGCCGGGAGTTGTAGTTTCTTGAAGCATTTTTGTCTTTAGTGAAAGAAGCTCGAGAACTACTTCACCCAGCGGGCCGAGCGCGGAGCGGGTACGGATTTTAGGAGTATCCCGCAGACGCTCCAGCCTGAGAGCCGGCTCCTAGGAACAGGTGAGAGCGGTGGCGGACTGGGACTGGCGGCAGGGGTTTCGGAGTCCCGGCCTAGGCGCGATGGCGATAGCTGCAGGCACCGGGGCCAAGACTGCTGCGTCGGAGTTTCCCGACTATGTTTTTGGGGGGAGAGGGCAGGTTGGTCAGTGAGCCCGACTGGCTGACTCGTACCTGCGGAAACTCCGGACTCCGCCTTGTGCTTCCCTAGAATCCCCGATCTGGCCAGATTCCGGCTGCTGTTGTGTTCAGCTGCGAACCTTCCCAGTGTTGCTCCGAGTCTGTCTGTGCAGCCCCAGCGGTCCCTGTAAACACAGCTCATGTCCCTAGCATCCAGTTCTGTCTCTAAGGCGTCTCAGAGAGCCTGCACACTCGTTTCCATCTCCTACCGGGGAGAACCTGGATTCTCGATTTAACTCTGTTATTCTGCCTGGGTGGTCATCCCATCTTCTTGAATTTCAGTTTGATCTTTACAAAAATGGGGTGATTTAAGGGACCACCCAGCCCCTTGAGTTTCTTTTCTCGACTCTAGCTGTGCCCCTGCACTTTTGGGGAAGAAGCCACAAGAATAGCAATGGTAGATGTACCTGGAGGAGTTTGTGGTTGAGAAGGAGAAAGTTAGGTGGCATTAATTACTAGCCAACACTTTAAGTGCGACTGGTTGAGTCAAAGATACTGTTTTTTGTTTCTTGCATTCCCCCCCCCCACCCCGCCTCCTCCGCCCCTTGTAAATGACATCAAGTTCTAGGTGTTCTGGGTACAGAGGTTAAAGTTTGGGTGGTGGGGATGACCTGATAACCTGGGAGCTTCCACCATGCCTTTGCCTCTGGTGCTTGCTCCTGCAGGGAGTGCTTGGTGCCTCCTCCCTGTGCCACTCTCTGTGATGCCTCTGTCCCGCTGGCTGAGATCTGTGGGTGTCTTCTTGCTGCCAGCCCCCTGCTGGGTGCCCCTGGAGAGGTGGCTGGGTCCTCTACAGCGACCCTCCCTGGTGCTGGGGTGCCCAGTCCTGGGGGCCTGGCACAGTGCCCGCTGCTGGTGCCAAGCGTGGACAGAGGAGCCTCGGTGAGTGTGATGGGGGTGAGGGGACTTGGGGAGGGGAGCAGCTGATCAGGTGCCTAACTTGTCTTCCCTCTCCTCAGGTCACTTTACTCCTCCCTCAGAATGAACGGAGACAAAAAGTTGGACACCTATGGCCAAGAAAAGCAGAACTTCATCCAGCACTTCTCCCAGATTGTCAAAGTGCTAACTGAGAATGAGCTGGGGCACCCTGAGACAGGCGATGCTATTACCCGGCTTAAGGAGGTGAGGGATTCCAGACTGAAGGGGTGGACCTTTGGTCACAAGTGTGCATGGGATTCGAACTGTGGCTTTGGGGAACTTCCGACAGGTGTGGGGCCAGACTTTTACCTGAGTGCTTCTGGGTTGATCTGAAGAGGACAGGACCCCGGCAGGGGCACTTACCCAGTCAGTCTATCCTGCTTTGTGGTTTTGTGCACCATGCATATCCAAAGTGCTTTGTATTGGGGTGGGGGGTCCTGGGGGTGAAGACTTGGAACCTTGATTTTGTTGAGAAAAGGAATTTTCAGAAATTGCAAGGTGTTACCTTGGCCCAGGGCCTGAGTGAAGCAAGTGTGTCATCAGATACTCCTGCTTTAGGACAAGAACTTTTGCCAAAATATTTAGTTGATTCTTTTATTCTTTTGGAGTATCAGTAATAATTTTTTAATAAACGCTCTCTGTCACATTTGTGTCAGAGGAACCAAGGAAAAGGAGGGGACTTGTCTATACTGGGATGGAGAGTAAACAGGAAGTCTTCCAAGTGAATTTGATTTGGTGGACAGCAGGGTAGCAGAAGGCAAATGAGGAACCCCAGCCGGAGGAGACACCGCTGGAGGAATGGGAGTGGCCAGAGGAGAGGACCCCCAACCAGCGTTGGTGGGCTTTATCTTTAATGTTGTGAGGGGCTTTTCATGTGTAAATGTGTTGAACTGGCTAGGAGTAGTTGGTTGGGAAAAGTGAAATGGATTATGAAGGGAAGGCTAGGAGAGATGAGGTTGGGGAAGGCACTGGAGGAGAGGCCTGAACGTGACAGTAAGTCCCATCGCATGTACAGAATTTTTCCTGGGTTAAAGTCCAATCCTGGGCTTGGGGCCTACTATGGAGCTTTTAAAATTACCGAGGAAGACAACAAAGAGGAAGCCTGGGGACTATGGAACTCGTCTAACTGCTCTGGGTTTTGAGGGAAGAAGCTAAAAGTAACAGTTCAGAGGCTGCCTGGAGGAGGAGTGAGGTTGAGAAGAAGCAAGTTAGGTCCAGGTTGGAGGCGGGTGACTGCAAGGAGAAATAGTAGCTGCTCTGTGAACCTTGAATGCCTGCTTCTCTTCCCTTTTCCCCCAGGTCCTGGAGTACACTGTTCTTGGAGGCAAATACAATCGGGGTTTGACTGTGTTGGCAGCATTCCGGGAGCTGGTGGAGCCTCGGAAGCAGGATTCTGAGAGTCTCTCGCTGGCCCTGACTGTGGGCTGGTGCGTGGAATTGGTAAGAAGGATGGGGAAGGGCAGGGGAAGAGGCTCTATAGAGTGGGGGTGCCTTAGATTTTTTTTTTTAGGATTATTATTTATGCTTACAGAACTGGGGCACAGGCCAGAAGTGCAGGCACGGTGAGAGGGTTCACCAGACAGAATAGGGAGCAGAACAGGCAGACTGACTGAAATACACTGCTGATGGGTCAGGAGGGTCAGGAGAGGTCTGCTGTGCTGTGTGGGTCACCTCCCTGGTTGGGGATTGAACTCATGCTGAGGGGGCTGCGGCTAGCTTCCTGGGGGGCTGCGGCTAGCTTCCTGGGGGACTGTGGCTAGCTTCCTGGGGGGCTGCGGCTAGCTTCCTGGTGCTGCCCTTTAACTTGTTGCGCCACCAGGGAGGGCTCTGCCTTGGATTTTTTTTTTAACATTTATTTATTTATGCATACAAAACTGAGGGACAGGCTAGAGGTGCAGGAGTAGTGAAAGGCTTCACTGGAGACAGAGTGGGGAGCAGAACAGACTGACTGATGAAGTACGCTGATGAGGGGAGCAGCGGGCGGGCCAAGAGAGGTCTGCTGCACCATGTAGGTCACCTCTGGGGCTGGCGGGGATCGAACTCATGCGGAAGTGGCTTTAGCTTCTTAGTGCTGCATTTACCAGCTGTGCCACCAGGGAGGGCCCTGCCTTGGATTTTTTTTTT